ATATATATATATATATATATGAAGCGTTCTGTGGAATATAGCCCAATATTTTTACTAAACTTCTCAAAGCTATTTTCTTCTATGTGTACTTCTGACGAGTTATATGTAAGTGTGAGAGGGAGGAGAGTGGCTTGGAATGTGCGCTTAAGAGAGCGTGGGAGTGTGTGATGCAGTTGATGTTTTTGCTGAACATTTCCTTCCTTGGTGACCTTCAATTGTTTTTGTACGGGAACAGTTTTGAGTCTTTTACTTCGCAAAGAATAGGCATGGCTGAGATTTGTTGAGCATTAAGGTGGGTAGGTTAACAGTCGTTTGAAGGGTTAGAAGGGAGACAGTTCAAACGTTGTGTACTGAGTTGGGTGATTTTAAGGTTACAAAAAAGTTTACTATTTAAGTAGCTTTTTATATGGTGTTGTAATTAGAAAGTGGTGATTTGTGATACCGTCGGTTTCGGCGTGGTTTATGGAGTGAGGCTGGAAAGGATTTGCCTTGAGTGGCTTTAACTGCTTTCAAGATAACAGTGCTTCTGTTTTCACCAAACGCTTCCTGTTCTGTAAGTTGCTTTTTTATGTAGAACTAAGTTAGGGGATATGTGATAAAAAGTTTTCTTTTAATCGGTAGTTTGAAAGAAACTTTTATAGGGAAAGTCAGGTGTCTTGCTTTTTGTATCTGTAGCACACCGGTTGTTAATATTACTATCTGAAATAAAATTTTTTTCGCTGACTACTAGTTGATAATAGCGAGTATTTCTTAAATAGTCTTGCAGAAGCTCGCAAATTATAAGCCGCTCCGCCTAAGCTCTTGACTTTATTTCGAAGAAAATTCTACGTTTCTTGTTGACTTCTACAGCCTTTGCAGCGTTTGGCATAAATTGTTAGCTGTACGTTTGGTCGAAAGCCATTTCTCGAACACTCTGAGAAATGAATTCAATTTGGAATAAATAACGTGTTTTTCCGATGTAGCTGTTGCACAGCTGAGGTGAATCTGAATTACGAAGGAAGTTAACAGCCTTCACTGTAAAAATTGCAAGAATAACAGAAACATGCTTCTCTTTAACAAAGTATGAGAAACAAGTAGTTTTTCTGCAACCGTGTTTTTGTGTAGGCCTACCTGTTGCATAGATAGGGAAAATCCATTGCCTCATATCATCTGCTGTTGGAAGAATTGTAGTAAGACAATGTTCACTATCAACAACGGGCACTGTGTGCCAAGGTTTCACATAAAAAGAGTTCAGTGGGAAAGCAAAGTTGTGTAAGTTAGAAAAAGAATCATTATGATGGTTCCGACAAAAAGTTACGTAGGTTAACGGATGGAAAAAAGTTTGTGATTAGATATCTGTTATTGAGTTTGCTATGGTGAAGCATATAAATAAGACTAGCGGTTTGGTAAAAATCAGTAGAAACCATTGTGCTTAAGGGGGTAGTGGAGTTTTGTATCAGATGAAAATTTTTGGCGTCCCTTGCCCCACTAGTCGCAACAAAACTAGTAATATTACGAAGATGCCATCTTGAAGTTTTCGTTCTTTACAAAAAGTCTATGTTCTTAAAAAGTACACTTTTTTAAAGCAATTCACAATGACGTATTTTTGACGCAGACTTTGCAGTTTTTGTTCCCATTCTTGTCCTTCACCTAATTTGTAAATGTACGTATTCTACCGCTCTGCTAAGTTTTCAGGATACACTTTCGAAAGGACGTGAAAAGTTTAGAAAGCCCATGGTAAAAAAAATAAAATTACATTTAGAAGAAGTCCATGTTCAACAAAAATTGCATCTTTTTTTCGTATTTTATGATAGCCTAACTTTGCTGTTAGCACATTTTTAGAAGTACTCTCTTTTGCAGTCAGGTGCTAAGTACCTACAAGTTGCCAAAGAATGAAAAAATTTTAGTGACTGACTTAAAAAAGTCTGCCATTTCATAGGGTATATCCTTTAAATACTTATTTGTTTTTTAATATTTTTATTTATTATGCTTATACGCATGTTTCATGTCTCTGTTTGTCCCTGATGGTAATAGGAGAAGGGGGGAGTGGATCAGAATGCCAATAGGCCACAAGTAGTAATTGTGACAATGTACACCAGTAGGTAGCTAGTGATTTGAAACGGCCAGGAATAATGTTATTACTGTAGAGGGACAGCAGGGAAAACGCTATTTACGTTAGTTGCATGTTTCAGGAATTCCTTTGCTGTACTTTGCTTGGTCGTAGGCGTTTTGGGAGTGAGGAAGCTGTGGAAATATAATGGTTAATTTACCTCTCATTTCAGATAAGGCTGCGCTTCAGGACACCAAAATTGCTGAGCTGAAGCCGATAAGTTCGCCTCCAACGATGTCAGTGAGACATGAAATAGAACGTCGGAATTACGGCGAACACATGCCACACATGCCACCATCACGCCACTTGGCCCATCGAAAGAGCAGTATACTTGTCGGGCAACGTTCGCTTGAAATAATTGAAGAGTCTGGGCAAAAAGAACCAACGTATGTTTTCAATACACATTTATTTCTTATCAGTCTGAAAGCAGATACGTTTGCTTGTAATTACTGACGGATTATACAAAAACGATTGCGGACTCCGGTGGAAGAAGGAACGGAAACTGAATAGGAGGAAATATAAACGTTTTTTTCATCCTCATCGTCATGCATTTCGCTCTTGCGTTTTGCAGATGGCCTTTGGCATGTTTATCTGCGAGTCACTGCGTATGCACTGTCAGTTATTCCTATGTTTTTCAGCGTTATTTGCTGTTGGGCACCATACTTTTTGAGCAAAATTGTTATAGCAATCCAAAAAAAGATAGCTAATTGTAGTAAGCGGAAGTTAGTCTACCTTCACTCACAAATCGCAAAGAATTGTCGAATTTCCCAACAGCATTAAAGTAAATCCTTTGTTTCAATGCGGTTTTCATGACCTCACTCAAATTTCTCCTTCACACCTTTTCTTCCATTGCCATCCGACAATAGAATTTGATGCTTCTCAATAAGAAAAAAAGAATTTTCACACAAAGTGTTCCTAGTAAGAAGGATAAAAGGTCTTTTTATGTTCTGTTTTTTTTTTTTTTTGACTGAAAATACATTATGGTTTTTAATCATTCTCCCTTCCTGCCTTAAAGTGAAGATTTCAAAAATTCTGTTTCGTTTTTTTTAGATGACAAAGGTAAATCAATAATTAGAAAACATAAAAACTTGTAAAAAAATTTTGATCTTTCAGTGATTTTAGAAGCAATTTATTTAGTGCAGAATAAAGCCATTTGAAGCACAACATGTTTAGCGAAAGAATGCGATTTCCAGTGACTTTACCAAAACACTAAATCTTTTCTAAGCTACCTATTACAGAAATCTTTTTGGGTTTCAGTTTTAGGCAAGATGTAACTATTTAGCAAAATTTGCGAAAAGTTTAAATGTCAGTTGAAATTTATATATCAAATAAAGTGCAGGATCCGTTGTGGAACGGCCCTTTTATAGCAGCACTGGTGTTCTTGTGCAAATTTCTTCCTCAAATTTCTCATTCTGATCAAAGACATTTTTTGCGATTGGTGGGTCCCTGAGGGGGACTTAAAAATTTGGTTTTCTAAGCAGGGGTTTAGTGAGAATTATTCTAGTTTCTTAAATAATAAGTTCTGAGTTTCGGATCTTACTTACAGACACTTTCCCTCCCAGAAAAATCTGATCTGGTAAGAAATGGACTACTACATTACAGAATATACTCTGCATTTTTTACTAACAGTTAAGCTTTTATTTTTTTAGTGCATATTCTTCGTAGTTATTAGGAGAAGTATCTGAAGTTTTTTTTAAAAGTATTGCAATGGTCTACTAACTTTTTAAATGATATTTATGACAAAAAAGTTTACTGGAATAGCAATTATTTTTGATGCGATTACTCAAAAGCGTTGATCTTCGTAACAAATTTCTGAGTTTTAAGCGTAAAAACCTGTCAATAAAAAACGTCAAACGTTTCCTGTAGTTACAGAAACGTGAGCAGTCTATAGGTCTATTTCAAAAAAAAAAAAACTTTTAATGATGCGCTATCTGCAAAAGTTTTAATTATGGGAGTCACGCGAACGGCTGTAGAAGGAAAAATTAGCACTTGTAAGACCCAATGACAAAAATTACAGCTTAATTAGGGTTTTTTACAACTTTATTTTAACAAATACTTTCTTCAGTTTGTTGCTATTACCGAATTTATCAGCCGCATCGAGTGAAAGTTGACCAGACACTTTAAAGTAAAGTGGTATCTGTCTTTGATCTAGTGCTGTGAAAACTTAATCGATTTTCGTACAAATATATTTCCAGCGGCAACTGTGTAGAAGAGAAACTACATTCTCAGCTATCCTTCTATATGTTTCCAAATTCAAGCAACAAATTAAAGCGACTTATAAAATTGAATTTTTATCCTGTTGTATGTACATGAGTGAGTATAAGATATTAAAGTAAATAAGTTTTTTCAAATGTATTTAGTTTTCAGGGTTGGTTTTGCAATAGATTTCTCGCTTTCACCTCTGAAGTTTTTGATTTTCGTTGGTTACGAATCCTGAAAGAGGCTTTGGAGAACAGGATTTTAAATCTCTTAGCATTAAGATTAAGGAATGAAGCATTCTGTTTACACATTTTTTCAGTCATTATTTCAGACTTTATCTAGTCTTCACTGACTTTTGAATTAGAAGTGTGAGTTTGGAGAACAAAAAATTTTTTCTGATGGAATGGGCTAGTGGTAGATTTAGACTATTTTGATTGTAGAGAAAATGCAATTTATTGTCAACATCTTTAGCATGAAAAACTTGTAGTTTTGCTTTCCCAAGATAAGTTTTTGAGATTTTATTTTTACTCAATATTTTGTTTTCTGCTTATTCAGAAAATTAGTGGATTATATATACTCGCGCAGCATTTTAAAGTTAGAATGAAGTAAAACTTTACGAAAAAAACTGTCACTATTCAAGAAATTCTTCAGAGATGACTTTATTAAGCAAAACTAGCGCTTTTTTGCACTTTGATACTATCCACCTCTGCTGTTAGCGCACCTTTAAAGCAAATGATTTTTGTCGTTCTGTTCTGGGTTCAAGGCCTACAAGTTAGTAATATTTGACAAGAAGTGATATGTTTGCTAAAAAAATAAGTGGTGCGACTTAAAATTGTTTAGGGAAGAAATTATCAGAGTATTAATACAAATAATTACAAAGAAAAAACTGTTATGAAAGATGCTTAAAATAACAGGTGTGAAAGGGTAGACAAGTTAAAAAAAGTGTTATGAGCAGCGTCTTTCAACATTTATGTAAATAAGCTTGGCAGAATTTTTTTGTCATGTTACGTAAGAAGGTTACAGACATGTTAGAAATGAAGTGATTGATGAATTTCCATTATCATTTTCAATACTTGTTGCTAGACAGAGGTAACCCCAACTAAAAACTATAAAGTTATTAGGCCCTGTGTATACTAATTTATATTTGAGAACAGTCTTTTACGGCCAGTAAGACAAGAAAGTGGGTTGTCCAACCTGTAGATAACACTCAGAAAATCAACTTTCCTACTTTTTTTCAGGCAAAAATAGATTCTCATCTTTGTTCAAAAGTATTGATCTTTTGTAGGTAATTCAGATGATGTATGGGGGGGTCAAACTTGACAAAAGTGGGAGAATTTTTTTCAAAACTGTTTTTGGTAGCCAACCTTAAA